TGAGCCCAGGAGTTGGAGGTTGCTGTGAGCTGTAATGCCATGGCACTCTACCCAGGGGGACAGCTTGAAGCTCTGTCTCAAAAAAAAAAAAAAAGTAAAAACAAGAGGAAATGGTTTCTTTTGTTACATAAGAACTTCTTGAGAAGAAAATTATGAGATGGCTAATTCTGGGGACATATTCACAAAGTTGGTTTAGAACAGTGATGGAGAGGATCTTAGGTGTGCCATGAAAATTTTTTAAATCATTAATTAAATTATTTTCAAAAGAAGTTCAAAGCACAGTAAGTATTTTCCTTTTTTTTTTTTTTTGGAGAGAGTCTCAAGCTGTGGCCTTGGGTAGAGTACTGTGGCATCACAGCTCACAACAACCTTAAACTCTTGGGCTTAAAGGATTCTCTTGCCTCAGCCTCCCAAGTAGCTGGAACTACAGATGACTGCCACAACACCCGGTTATTTTTTTGTTGAAGTTGTCATTGTTGTTTTAGCTGGTCTGGGCTGGGTTTGAACCCACCAGCCAGAGTGTACAGGGCCGGCACCCTACCCACTGAGCTACGGGCACCGCCAGTAAGTGTATTCTTTTTTTCACTCTTTTTTTTTTGGATCAACATAATTTAAATGTGCTGTGGAAGTTTAACTATAGGTTCAAGTATGCCATGATATAAAAAAGGTTGAAAAACACTGATTTAGAAGGAGAGACTGGAGCTGCCTCACTTCTGGGCTATATTAAGACTATTGTTTAATCAAGGCCTTGATCCTTCTTTAGTACGTGCTGAAATACTAAATGAGCCCCTTATTTCTGTGATTTTTTGCTCTGTTTAAGGCAGACTTATGTTCCCCTCATGGGAGGGCGTGTTTAGACCCAATGTGTGCCTCCCCAGTGAATGCCCACGTCTTAATCCAGGAAGCTTCATCTTCTCATTGACAGTGGGCTGGATTTCTGTGCTCTGAATCTTGAGAAGGAAGACGGGCCTCAGTGGAACCTTCCCCTACAGTCTAGTACTGCAAGAGGGTGAGGGTCTGGCCAGGCCTGGGTCCCCCAGGGGACAGGGGCAGGAGTCAGGGGGAGGCAGGTAGCACAGGGGTTGAGAACCAGCCTCTGTTCTCACTCCAGCCTGCTGCCTTCTATCTGGGCAGTAAGTAGTCTTGGTCCCATACTTACCCTTCTGTGCCTCAATTTCTTGCCTCTATTTCTGTGAACTAGGGGGAGAAAACTTACTTCTTATTGAAATGTTAGAGGAGATGTGCCTGTAAATCCCTCAGCACTGCTTCACCCACATGTGTGAGCAGGTGCTGTTGGGGTACAGGCTCGGTGGTCCTGCCCCTTGACCTCTACCTCATGGACTAAGAAAGGAGGCTGTGAATAATCCCTGTGTGCCAGAAACCCCCTTCCTCTAAGACAGAGGTTCTCAACCTTCCTAATGCCACGACCCTTTAGTACAGTTCCTCATGCTGTGGTGACCCCCAACTACAAAATTATTTTCGTTACTACTTCATAACTGTAATTTTGTTACTGTTATGAATTGTAATGTAAATATCTGATATGCAGGATGTATTTAGGCAACCCCAGTGAAAGGGTCATTCGACCCCCAAAGGGATCACGACCCACAGGTTGAGAACTGCTGCTGTAAGCCTCCTTTCAGACTTCTTGTCTTCTGTGGTCGGCCCGGGGAGATTTGTCCTGGCAGCCTCCCCAAGGTGACCCTCCAGAGATGTCACCCAGAGATGTCCCCGGAGCTGATCACACAGAAACCCCTCACACCCAAAGCATCTTGACCTCTATCCCATCACCCCAACCCTCTGTTCTCTCTTAGAGAACCAGATCCTGCCGGGGGAGAGTGGGTGATATGTGTGTTTCTGGAAGTGACCAGACCACCAGCAGATGGGAACTTCAGCTATGGGAGGTGACAGGCCAGGGTTGGACACTATGAAATCTCCTCCAACCCCAATCTCACACGTGAGGCTGCCCCTTGACTGTTCGGGCTGCAGGTCTCTCTGAAATATAGGGAGCTCATTGGTGCCCTTCTTCCTTTTCTGGGGAAATAATGGAGCCTTTGGATTTTCCATCAGCTATTAAACATATAGGGGTTACCAATGGGCACGCAGGCCTGTTGGGGGATGGACAGACAGCAGTCATGATGGTGGTCACTCCAGGTGCACTTTCTGGGTCCTTCTATCTGTTGTCTGAATTGCTCCTCACAACAGCCTTGTGGCAGAAGATGCTGTGATTGTGCCCATGTCACAGATAAGGAAGGTCACCATCCTTGCTCTCATACAGGTAACTTTCTTCCTCACAGCTTCAGCATCTGGTCTCCCTGAAGGCTGGGTGTTCAGGAACCCTGTCCCCAGTGGTCATGGCATTGCCTGACCCCCAGTCTCTCTCCAAATCTTGCTGGAAAGTCTGGTTTCCTCACTCACCATCGCCCTGCCCAGTCTGCCCTCCCCACCGCTGGCTCAGCTCTCAGCCTGCGTTTCTCTCAGGGCCCCCTAAGGAGGGTGAAGTGGTTTTACTTCTCTTTCTGCCAGGTGGGCTTAAATAGGCAATCACAGCAAGACAATTAAAAAAAATCCAGAGGGAGTCGCCCCCCTCCCCCCTTCTTCAGTTAATTTATTTCCTTTATAGGAGGCCGTGGGGAGAGGAAGCTAGGCAGTGACTGCTCAGATAGGACTTTCCAACCGGATTCTCCATCTGGGCAGGTTCCCCCCATTCCTGGGAGCTTGGCCCAGCAGTGGTTCCCCCTTTGCCTACGCAGGTTCTGGGGAAGGCCCATCCTGCATGCCTCTTCCTCTCACTGACTTTTGTTTCTTGGTGTGGGGGAATTTCCTTTTGCTTTGAGGTCTGGGCTGTGCAGTGATCACCTGAGCCTGTGCAGGGACAGCCCCATCATCTCTGTTGCCTGAAGCTACAGTCAGACACACAGAAGCCAGACAGGTTCATGAAAATTCCAGTTGTTCTCACTGCAACAAAATAATAAGTCTTTCAGGCACTGCCCATCCCATCCTGCACCTCCTCATTTAAATGTCAGCCAGAAACCTGAGCTCAAGACCTCAAATGCATTTGGGGCTAAGAGGATTTTACTGAGCAGGCCTCCTCAGCCACCCATTCCCTGTGAGTGTAAAGCTCAGGGCTCTGGCTTCCCTGATGGGCAGCTTCCTTGCTTGCTGGGCCATTCCTTCCCCTCCCTGACCCTTAGGATAGCAACCCCACAGTGCCACCCCTCCCATATCTGCCACCTGCCATTGTCTCTCTGGCCTTTCAGTCCATTAATGAACAGCTATTGAGCTCCCACCCGTGGGTAGCAGCGCCTGCTCTCTGTGCCCTGACTAAATTAGCCTCTTGTTAGATTTGGGAGAGAGCCCAGAGTTTGGGGTTTGAAAGATCTTGGCTCTGCTGCTTAGAGGCTTATGATTTCTGGGGATCCACTTAACACTTGTGGGCACAGGACCAGTGCCACCCCCTCCCATGGAGGCTGGGAGAGTCACAGGAGATGATGAAGGAGAAAGGCCCGTGTAAACACAGGGCATGTGCCCGCTGTCATCCTCACAAGTGGTTTCCTGTGGATGCTGTGCATGTGGTGGTTCCTGCACTTGGCCTTTCCCTGCCGCCCTGTTAGTTGGTCCTCGTTGGCCCAGAGGCACCCTGCTGTTAGTACCCGCCCCAGCAGCCTTGTCTGAATCGCTCCTCACAACAGCCTTGTGGCAGGCTGTTGTGAGGAGCAATTCCTTGTTGCCTGGGTGTAGCTATCTGTCTGGAGCAGCCTGAGACCCTCCCTCCCCTCCACACATCCCTGCCTTCCCCATTCCCCTTCACCCCTGCCTACTCCCTGTGTAGCCTGCAGTCCCCACGCAGCCTCAGCTCCCTGGCCACACCTACTCCCACTTGTTCCATCCAGCGCAGCTGCCTCCTCCTTTTCCCGTGTCTATGTCTAGTCTTTGGAACCCCACACATTAGGCTGGACTGTGAACTCTCTTCTCCTCCAGACCTGAAGTCTCCTTGGGTATCAGGACCTGACCAATAACCTCTTGCTATCTTGACTCTATCCTGTGCCTCTGGGGCCACACCTGTAGACAGATGCAGGAGTTCATCTCGTGCCTGAGTCCCCATGCCAGACATAGGCCTCAGAGCTGGACCTCTGCCTCTTTCCTCCCCATTCCTGAGTAGCCTGGCAAGGCTGAGTGGACCAGGCTCTCAGGCTGCAGGGCCTAGCTGGCCCCTCTGCTCTCCATGGCTTCCACCTCTTGTCTGGCTTAGATCTGTCCAGCAAATGTGTGCAGCCCCTCCCACATCACAGGGGCTTTGCTGGACATGAGGGGTCTGAATGAGACAAAGCCAGGCCCCTGGGTTGGGAGAAAGGGAGAGACAAGAAGACGGTTTTGATGCTTCTGGGGTGCTCGGCCAGTGTGGTCCTTCTGCCATTCTGAGAAGACTCTCAGAAACAATGCCTTCCCCAGCCCTTGGGGACTTTCTGTCCCATGTTTGGAAAAATCTTCCAGCTGGGGTCATGGCACAGTCACAGAGCAACTAAGAAAGTTTAAACAAATGTGGGGCTTCTTTTTGGAATCTTTGGTGCCTGCTCATGTGAGGATGTGTGTTGGAGAATCAGAATAAACATCAAAGAGTAACATTTTTGGACATTTTCTCTTGGCTGGTTTCCATGTGAGTAGGAAGAGAACGGAGCCAAGGAGACAGTGGGACAGAGGGGTTTACTGTGGGTTATGCATCTGAAATCAGGTTTCTCCCAATATTTCATTGCTGCTAATTCTTTGGAGACTCTTCATTCCAACAGCATTTCCTTTTCCTTCCTGGAAAATTTATTTCTGTCTCTGGCCTCAGCAGCGCCCTACCCCGGGGGATGCTGTCAGCAGGGTTGCCTTGTCTGGCAGGCTCTGTCTTCCTCTGCCCACCCCCAGCATTCTCGCTTCTCCTTTGGCCTTCCCCTTTTTCTGTTTCATTATGCATCTGGGAAAGTTGTCTTGTCATGTGAGTGGAGATCCTTCTGCGTGATCAAGTGTTAGCACGTATTTTTGGACTTTGGCCATTTCCCCACTCACTTCTCCCATGCAGAATCTGTGGTATTTTTTTCCTTTTTAATTCTTTTGCATCTGGGCTTGACTGGAGCAGATTATAGCAAGTGGTACTCCAGCCCCACCTGGGGTCACCTGTGGGCAGTTCTGGCCAAGCCCACTGCTTGCTTAGCCTCTTTGCCTACAGGTGTTCTCAGGAATGGGAATAGCCAGGCCGCCCATTTGCCCTGGGAACTTCAGGAGTGACCCATAAGGGGGAAGGCCCTTGGTGGGCCAACCCCAGGTGTGTTGTAATGTACCTGGCAGGACTGAGCCTCAGTAGGCTTTCTTGCCCTTGGTGGGCCAACCCAAGGTGTATGGCATATAGTGTACCTGGCAGGACTGAGCCTCGGTGCCCAAGCCATGACCTGTTCTTTAATGCACCCATCATTGGCTTCATCTCATCTCTATTCCCAACCCTGCTCTTTCCCTCTGTTTCCTGGGATCACTTCCCAAATTAACTACGCATACAAGAACGCTTACAGAGTCTGCTTTTGAAGAAATCCAAATAAAGCCAAGAACTCACTCTAGCCCTGAGTATCCTCTTGCTCCTAGGAGCTGCAGCTTTTATTTGAACCTCTGGCATCTAGGACTGGAAAACGCCCATCACCTAGTTCCCTTACTGCTCCCCCAGGTTCAATCCATGACTGTTTCCTCCATTACAAACCTCCTCTGCCTTACTCCATTCCTGATGTTTGTCTTTCCAAATCTTGAAGTGGCCTACTGATGGCCAGCTCCATACCCTCGGACCTAATTTCTTGTGGGAAACCGTTTCCTGGCTGTGGACAGCTTCCTACAAGTCAGGCAGAGGGACGACAAAGGTCGCCTTGTCTGACTGGCTCTGTCTTCCTCTGTCCACCCTGGGGGTGGGGATGATGACCAGGCTAGAGCTGATGTTTCAGAGTTGGAGTTTCAGATGTAGGTGGTCCCCTCTACACATGCACCTTCCTTTTCTAACTGGTTCTATTGGATGAATGCCACTCCTGGCAGCCTACAGGAGAAAATACCTGGAATTTCAATCCAAGTCTGAAGATCTATTTTTGTGTTACTCATTTAAGTCAAGCAATCAGAGTTGACCCAGCTTTGCTTACACAGGCTGGTCAGGAATAGCGCCTCACTTCCAGTGCCTGCTTGGCTGTTCGCGCCAACCTGCCGTTCCAGGCAGGAACCCCTATTTACGGGAACATACTTATTTTTACTTATCAATGATGTATTTTTGATGTACTTGATTAAGTATTATGGATTAGGCCCCAGGAAACCCCACTGCAGTTTATAAATAGTGAGTTCAGGGATGCAGTTCCTGGAATTAGAGCAGTATTTTTGTCTTTATGTGTTTGGGTACATTTACATTTTAAAAGAGCAACTCTCACCCAAATATGACTGCATTTACTTCCAAAACATGTCTTTGTATGAAGTTCTATTCAGACAGTGGCTCCTCTCTTAGGTTAACTATTGCTGATGACAAGGTCTTATGGCTTAGCATTTTTTCCTAGAAATCAGATGGGGCTGTGAGAAGACTTTTGTCCCCAAATGCCGTACCTGTGTGAGCTAATTTTAGAAGTTACGTGGATGGACGTATTTGATGTCAATGTGCATCATTGTTACCCCTGTTTATGGCAAATGGTAGTGGTTTGCCTTTAAAGACATGAAGAACAATTTCATTCTTAAAGGTATTTATTTAAATAGAGGAGAGTGACTCAGTTAAAAAAAAATAATTGGCTAGTACCTTGGATACTACCAAAAATGTTAAATACTGAAATTTGGGAAACAACATCCCAGAATGTGGGTCTAGGTGTCTCATACAGGGAGCTTGAATGTGCTTTGTCCTTATTGCTAATGTCAGCCATTGTTTATGACTTTTAAATTTTTCTTTGAAAGAAGTGTGGAGATTTTTTTATGATTCAAGAAGATATATTTGGAAACCAAAGCATATTCCTGACCAGGCTGTGTAAGCAAAGCTTTTAAAGCTGGGTCAACTCTGATTGCTTGACTTAAATGAGTAACACAAAAATAGACCTTCAGACTTGGATTGAAATTCCAGGTATTTGCTCCTGAGGCTGCCACTGCTAACTCATGCCCAGCAGCACGTACAGCTCAGCTGTTGGGTGCTTGTGATTATTGATTTCTAAAGATCTGAGCTATAAATGGAGAAACCAAAAGCTTGGCACCTGACTTCCAGTGCCTGCTTGGTTGTTTGGGTGAACCTGCCACTCCAGGCAGGAACCCCCATTTACGGGAACATGCTTGTTTTTACATATCAATGATGTATTTTTGATGAACTTGATTAAGAATTCTGGGTTAAGCCCCAGGTAATATTACTATAGTTATAGATAGTGAGTTTAGGGGCATGCATAGTTCCCAGTATTTTTTTTTTTAGAAACAGAATCTGACTTTATCGCCTTTGGCAGAGTGCTGTGATGTCACAGCTCACAGCAACCTCCAAGTTTTGGGCTTAGGCGATTATCTTGCCTCAGCCTCCCAAATAGTTGGGACTACAGGTGCCCACCACAATGTCCAGCTATTTTTTTAGTTGCAATTTGGCCAGGGCCAGGTTCAAACCTGCCACCCTCAGTATATGGGCCAGCGCCCTACTCACTGAGCCACAGGCACCACTCGAGAGCAGTGTTTTTGTCTTTATATGTTTATATACATTTACTTTTTATTTTATTTTTTCCTTTTTTTATTAGATCATAACTGTGTACATTACTGTATTTATGGAATACAGTGTACTGATTTTATATACAATTTGGAATGCTTACATCAAATTGGTTATGTTTACTTTTTAAAAGATCAACTCTCACTGAATATGGCTGCATTTACTTCCAAAACATGTCTTTGTATGAATTTTAGAAATTTCTACTGTGTTCTTCCCTTCAATACCTAACTATGCCAATAAATCCCAGATAACAGCTATTTATTACATTCCAGATTCAAAGCCTAAGTCCTCCATCGAAGCCCAACCTTTGAAGTCCTTGTTATACTTGAAGGCAGCCTTATTGCCTTGGAATCAGATCTTATTGTTTGGCAACAATACAAAAGAGGCTTTATTTCTAATATTTCTAATAATATCATGAGGCTCCTGAGAGAGTCCCCTAAATCCAATGATGCAGACTTTTATCACCGGTTGACCTTTTCTCTCTCCACTCCCTTTCCAAATCCCAACAGAAATGGAGATCTTCGCCCTCTTCAACAAACCGAAGAACCAGCAGAAGTGCCAGCAGTACTACCCTGTGACCATTCCTCTCCGGGTCTCCAGAAATGGCCAGGCAGTGAGCAGTCTGGATGCCAACTGGCTGGAGCACATGAGTGAACACTTCCGGAAAGGAGGCATGCTGGTGAACGCAGTCTTCTACCTCGGGATGGTGAATGGTATGACGTGCCCAGCCCTTGTGAACTCTGCTGCTTACTCTTGTAATCTCAGCCCTTGTTCCGAGCCTGTTCCGTTCAGGATGCTCTATAGCCAGTAGCCACGCTGCACTGGATTGCTAATTAACACATCTTGAGGAACTTCCCATAAAGTTCAGGACCTGTGCCCTCTAAACCTCTCTAGGTATCAGCCAGGTATTTTCTGAAATGACAGAGAACAGGGAGTGGTTCTGTTTCATCAGAGGTGGCCTCTGTCTCTGTTGCTTTCAAAAGCTTTTAAAAAGATTATTCCCTGGGTTTGTTAATTACCCCCTGGGATTGTGCCATTCCAAAAGTGCAAATTGTTTGTAGACACTATTACAGTTTGAAGTAGCAGTAGCAGCACCTTGGAATTAACAGCAGAGAAATAAATTGAATAGCCTGGTTGCTGTAAGCTCCATGGAGACTCACACTGTTCCCGGGTCTCTTGGCACCCTGTACCCCCTCCCCAGTAATGGGTTATCTCCAGGGGTTTGCCACACAGGGTAGCGCTATTGATGTCAGCTCTCCTAAGGCAGAAAAAATTGTTCCCCCAGTGGGGAAACATGTCAAGCAAAGAAAGGGTTTTGGGTTAACAAGAAGGCAAGTTGAGTCACCAGGGTGCGTCAAGGCTGGGAGGCAGTTTGGGGACAAGGGCAGACAAACCAGCGCGTGCAGGTCCTGAGGGCTGCCAGTCAGCAGGGTTCCTCAGTGAAACATCACACCAAATGTGCCAATCTCAGCAAAACCTGGCAGGGGGCATCAACAGCACCGTGTCTTATAGTTGTGTAGTTTTCTCTCTCAAGAATTAGCAGTGTCAGGAAAGGAGTTTGGATTCTACATTGTTTGCAATCCTTGAAATGCAAGCAGGCGTCCTTACAATAGAGACATCATTCTTAATGCTTAGTGTTTCTACTTTAAATCATCCCTGATACAGCACAGACAGGTCTTAATTTTGGATGCAAGTCTATTATTACTAAATATCTAAATGCCTAATATTGACAGGTTATTATAGTAGCAGCAGGCGTGCATGGAGTTGTGGTTCATGGCCATTTGTTGAATGGATGAATGACATAAGAAAGGCGATTGGCTCGTTAGGAATACATCTAGAGCAGCTGTCCAACAGAAGTTTCTGTGATGGTGAAAGTGTTCTATATCTGGGTTGGCCACTATGGCAGCCACTGGGTGTCTGTGACTGCTAAACACTTGAAATGTGACTTTTGTGACTGAGGAACTGAATTTTAAGATATATTTAATTTTCATTCATTTAAATTTAAATAACTATATACGGCTAGTGGCTGGTGTTTATGTTTCTTTAATACAACTGATGAAGAGTCACTTCCATGCCCTGGCAGCCAAGTTGGTACAGGAGGAAGCCCTCCACGGTGCCTGTGAAGTTCCCTGAGGCAGGGATTGCCATGGCCTGTCCCGGGATGCATTATGCAACACCCGGGGCAGCAGGTGCTTGGGGCAGATGTTTACAGCCTGACCGACCAGCACTAGGGAGGCCAGAGAGGACCCCTCTGGCTCCCCTCTTCCTTTAGGGCAGCAGTTCTCTACCTGTGGGTCGTGACCCACAGGAACTGTACTAAAGGGTCGTGGCATTAGGAAGGTTGAGAACCACTGCTTTAGGGACTCCCCATCTCCTGGTAAACAGCAGCTCCTTTTACCCTGTCTTGGTGCCTATGGAAGTTCTCCGCAGCTGTGCACAGTTTCACCTTTCTCCCTGGGAAACTGATGAGGTAGCTGTTACAGCTGTGCAAGGAGGTGCTGGCGGTAGCAGATCCACAGGTGGCCCTGGGAATTTTCTCTCTCTTAGAAGAATTGGGGCATTTAAAGAGAGGTCTTCTCTTTGGCCCCACAGTCCTGAGCATGTTGGGAGCAACTGAGCCCTAAGAGAGAACACCCTGGAAGGCCACAAAGCCCTTTGCCATCTCTCTAATGCTCAGGGTTCTGGCAATCAAGGCTGAGTTAACTTCCTCTACTCCCCCCTCGCCCCACCCTCCAACCTGGAGTCCAGAGATACAGATAATTTATGTTTTTTTTTCCTTCAGATTTGACTTGAGCATTTGAAATGCTGTTATATCCTCCCTTGGCTTTAGCAGGATTAAATCCAGCCTCCCTGCCTTGAAGACAGAACATGAAATTCCCCCTGGCAGGTGCAACCATGCAGCCCTGTCTGCAGCTCCACCCCAGCTGCAAGTGTCCATCTCAGAGAGAGCTGCAAAATTTCCAGAACAAACCTAATTGCAACCCACTGTGATTTTAAATGTGATTTTACCTTGTATGTTTCTGTGGGGATGGAGAGTGTGGCTTGGGAGTAATGCTTTGGGGACTAGGGTGTTTCTGCTCTGGAAAAGCCCAAGGTTGGCCGGGATGTAATATGCATATATTGTTTTACCAGAATTATTTAAAAAGGAAGCCAAGTTAATCATAATCTTAAAAGGAACCTACTTCTAATGAAATAATTAGTGTCCTTACAAATAAACCTGGCAGAGCTAGAAGCACATCTTTAAGCTGTTTGCCATCTGGAAAAGCACCAATCATGACTCTTAAATAGACATTTGTACTGCAAAATATTTTCCACAGAGTCATAAAACTCCAGAGAACTTTGTCCCATAAACAAGGTGATGTTTCAGTCCATATTATCCAGTTGAGACGTCTAGCTTCTGTTTGTGAGGCTTTACCTCCTGGTGCTCCCCCTACACCCCCAAGGATGTGGAAGGACGTGAACAGTCCTCGCATTGGGCTCCTACTTGTGGTTTCCAGGGCTTTTCTCCTTGGGGTTGTTCACTGAGCCTTAGAAGGACAATGTCTTAGGTGGGAGGAGGCTCTGCCCTTGGGCCCTGGCAAGCTTAAGGCACAAGCAGAGAGGCACAGTGATGATCGTGGACACCTAGCAGTCACTTTGCCTTGGTGCTGGTCTAAGCAATTCATACACGGCAGCTCATTTTATCCTCACAAGCCAAAGAACAGGTACTGTTCTTATTTCTGTGGGATAGCTGTGGAAACTGAGGTACAGAGATATTATGTCATTGTCAAGGTTACTAGCTAGTAAGTGGCAAGAGAGTGGCAGGAAGAAAGGTGTGGGTAGGGAAAAGGAATGTGATGAGTGTGGGAAAAGAGGGGAGGTGGGTGGCTGTGTTGTCAGGAGTAGTGGCCCCCAGCAGGGTCTTAGCAGCTCTCTAGATGGGGAGAGAAGAGCTCCAAGATCATCCTGGGGAGGTGATTTAGAAGTAAGAATGAGTCCAGGGGCCACACAGCAGTGCAGACAGGCTCTCAGGGACATGTCAGCCAGTGAGACAAAGGCCAGAGTCTGCGCTTCTAGAAATCAGGAAAGAAAGACCAGGAGGAGAGACCCTGGTGGAGCTGGCTATTGGGGAGCGGTTGTGTGGGGACTGGAAGGCAGGGGTAAAGTCACAGTGGAGGCCAGCTGCCTACCAGGGAAGACCAGGCAAAGCAGCTGGCTTCTCACCAAGGCCTTCTGGGCCCGGGAAAGCCCTGTTACCTTCCCCAGCCACGAGGCTGGTACTGCCACTATCCCTTCCTGCCCTGACCCTCCTACTTTGTCCTTTCCTTACCCTACTCCTGCCCTTTTCCTGTCCTCAGTCTGTCCTTGTCCTCTCCTACCCTGCCAGTCCTCCCACTCTTGGTTTCAAAAATGTCCTTTGCAGGGGATTGTCCAAACCAGAATCCATTCAGGCAACCCACACTGTTTATAGTGACCATGTCCTCGCTTCTCTTTTTCCCTGCAAGGTCCTTTTTTCTGCCCCTGAAAGGAGCCCTACCACTCGTCCTGCACAGTGTCCTCCATATGGATTCGGCTGGTCAGAGCCTCGTGTGCCATTGACCTGACTTTTCTAGCCTGCGTTTCATACAAACTAGAAGTTAGTTCTAAGGCCTGGATAAACTAAGAATTAGGACTAGAATACACTCCAGGTGATAAGGGTCACGGTATGCCCAGATGTCTCTCCATTCCTACCCTCATAAAACATTGTCTTTCTGAAGCCTTCCCTGATTCCCCAGCTGCATCTAAATCCAAATAACACTTGATATTTACACTACCTTTTTGTGACCCTCAGCATGTCCTTCATTACCTTCTATTTGCAAAATACATATGTAAAAAGCATGTGCTTATTTCAAATACAATAAAATTTGTAACACTCAAGTCACATTCGACTTCTGCAATTATAAGAGGTGCTCAATGTGACTTATATTTATCTTTTGTTATCAGTATATATTGAGTATTACAATTGTAATACAGTTTTTTCCTTTCTTAAAATGTATACACATTTTTTGGTCCCCCTGCATGTAGGGAGCTGTGTTTTATATATACATAATAACCAACCCTCCCAGGCAAGTCATACATTCTATACTACGTAGCATCCCAGAGCCAGAAGGTGACCAGTAAAGTTTTCTGCATGATGCTCAGTAATGCTGATAATGATGGGAGAAGAAGGCAGTTGGATGTCTGTCAACAGGGAACTGCAGATTTGTTGGTGGAGGGACTGGAAAAAGAGAGAGAATTAAGTAATGTCCAGCGTTTCTTACAGCCACACCCTTGGAACAACACCTGTCTCCAAGAATGCCTGGTGTAGTAGTTATAGGCAGTGCCTCCCTTCCTTAGAAGCCACTTAATAACATAAGGAGTAGATTTCACATATGCCATTAAATGCATTTTCTCATGTATCCATAGCACATCTTCAAATAAACATTTTATTGCAGTTTAGTACACCCAGGACAAATTGTATGGATCAAGGTGTATAGCTCAGTGGATTTTTACATGGGGCACACACCCCATGTAACAGCACCTAGATCAAGAAATAGAACACACCAGTCCTCTAGAAGCCCTCTCATGCCACCCACTGTCTCTGTCCCCCAGGGTAACCACAGTCCCAGCTTGAAACACCATTGACTAGTTGTTAAAATTATGTAAAAAGGAGTGTACACTTGTATGTACTTGAGGTACATTCATTGTGTGTGTG